GGATCTTCAACCTGTCTCCTCTCCTCTTGACCCTACTTCTCATCTTTGCATCAATGAAGGTGAACCTTTGTAGGATGCCACCATCTATAGAAAGTTTTTAGGGAAGCTAAATTATCTTACCCACACTCGCCCTGATTTATCTTTTTCCACTCAACACCTCAGCCAATTCATGCAGTCCCCTCGCCTTCCTCACTTTGATGTTGCGCTTCGTTGTCTCCATTATTTACTCATTGATCCTGGGTTAGGCATTTTTCTGTGTTCCACTTCCTCATTCAATCTCCTTGCTTTTTGTGGTTCTGATTGAGGTCGTTGCCCTGTTACTCGCCGGTTGATTAGTGGGTATTTCATAACTTTAGGTTCTTCTCCTATCTCTTCGAAATACAAGAAACATGCTTTAGTCTCTTTATCTTCTGCGGAGGCAGAATATCGATCCATGCGATGGGTTGTCGCTGAGATCACCTGGTTGTTGCGTTTACTTAAAGATCTATCTCTCACTCCTTCTCTTCCAGTTTCCCTCCACTTGATAGCCAAACCGCTATCCACATTGCCAAAAATCCGGTTTTTCATAAACACACCAAATATGTCGACCTCGATTGTCATTGTTTGAGATAGCAATACCTTGCTGGGCTCATTTCCCTCTCTTGAGTGGGGATGTTGGAACAAGGATTTCGACTTTCTGAGATGATAATAATGATTTGTAGAAGAGAAAGTCGGCTATAGACGACAAGGTTCAGAGGCAACGAACATGGTTTTTCGGAGTCATCGAGGTTGTGTCTGAACAAGGCTCCAATATAATGGTCTAAGTCGGGTAATTGATATTGGGCCTATAATGAAGTGGGCTGCATTTGGACTTACACTTTGGGCCGAGACTTTCACTTGGCCTTTCTGGATACTAGAAGATTCTTTACTGATTTAATTGTAAATAGAGTTTTTGTTATTCTTGTATTTATCTCATAGTTAGTTATTCTTTTACCAATAGCATAGGGACATGTGTCATAGGTGGTTATACATAAATTCTTTCTAGTTGTATAAAGACACGGACTGTCCAGAGAATAATTCATTCAATACACAAAAAAATTTCTCAATTGTTCTTTTACATCATGCTTTCCAATAAAATTTGTTGGTAAAATTTATATTTAGTAACCGATGTAATTTCATAGTAGTAATTTTTATTTCAAACGCATTCGAGATTTCTTGATATAATTTGTGCCCCAACCTTTAAAAAGAATGAGCTTTGCACCACAACCAACCCCAAATACCCCTTCATATTAGGACCAAATCATAGTGTGCGTGAAAATCTAATAGCAAGTTTGGCTAAGCTTCTAAAATTAGCTTATTTGAAAAGTATTTTTTTTAAAAGTATCTTTGAAGTATACGGCCCCAAAAAAAAGGTATCTTCTAAGTAATACATTAATTAAATAAATGCATTTTAAATACATGTAAAACTTAAATACTCTGATATATAATTAAGATAGACCACTTAAAGTTTAGTTTTTACTTAGCAGTTAGCACAAATCTATCCATCTGCGTAGAGTTTTACATTTCCAGTTTATAGAGAAGTCAAATTCTATAAATTCAGAAAGTAAATTATCCTAAAAATATCTTTTAATAATGTTAATTTTACATTGAAAATGGTCCTGATTAACATTCTTGATTTTCAATAACTTGGATGAAAAAATTGCGTGATAAGTTTTTCTGACTTTGAAAAGTAAAAGTAAATGTATAACAATATTTTTTTATGTCATTGTTTTCATTTTCTTATATATATACATATGTGTGTGTGTTATTTCTATGTAATTTAATCTCTAGTCTAGTTTGTGGTTAAAATAGCACGGGCTAGCCAGTTTTCGGACTGGTCATTCAAAAATAGCCAGTGTTTGCAAAGTCATTGAAAAATAACCACTATTTTGCTGCAACAGTGACCGGTCCAGCATAATATACTGGAGATCGGTGCACCTGTGTATGAACTTCCAGCATATTATGCTGGAACTCCAACACGCGAAAAGCTCCAGCATAATATACTGGAGATTGGAGCACTTGTGTATGAACTTATTCCAGCATATTATACTGGACCGGTATATTATACTAGAACCTCAGTATATTATGTTGGAGTTCCAGTATACTTATGCTGGAACTCCATTATAATATGCTGGAGTTCTAGTATACTTATGCTAGAACTCTGTTATAATATACTGGAGTTCCAGTATACTTATGTTGGAACTCTAGTATATTATGCTGGAGTATTTTCCGGATTTTGAACAGTGTTTTTGTTCAAATTTATCTTTACATGAAAAGTGACTAAATTTTGAATACTTTTGAAATCGTGGCTATTTTTGAATGACCACTTGTAAATCTGACTATTTTTTAATTTCTCCCTAGTCTGTGAGTTTACACTTAAGTCACCGTACATGGGTGGAAAGCACTCACGAGGAGTCTATATGCACAATTTGATGAATTCAATATGCTGGGTAGATAAATTTAATTAATCACTAGGAGGTTTAAATTTGACCTATTATTGGAGGATGTTTTGGAATTTTTACATTTTACTTTTTGAAACTAAGTAATCTTAATTTGCATACTAATTACGATTATTAATAATTCTTTTATAAAAAATTATAAGAACTTTAGAGTTTTAATTTTTTTTTAAACATAAATCTAGTTTAAGCGTTTAAAAAATTGGAACTCCTATTTTTAGAATTTGGAGCTACATGAATCCTTTAACTGTAGGCAACAATTACTTTCTAACTTTCCAAAAAAATAATATTTAATTTAAAATATTAACTATTCTAAAAATTATAAATTGAAGTTTTCACATTTGCCATGACTTATTAATTATTCGAAATAAATTGGCAAAGTTTACAAAATGAACAAAAGTCAGTTGGAAAATATTCAACCGATTGAGGATCCGTTGGCAATTTTAGTAACGAATTTCGTTCCGTCAGCAATTTTAACAACAGCTTATGATCAGTTGGTAAAATCCGTCGGCCATCCGTTAGTAATTTGTTACTAAATAAGGCGCCACTTTTTCGCAATATTTACCGACGAATTTGTTGTCGTAAGTACGCGCCAATCCCTCCCCC